TGATAATATAATGATAGAACTTACAAAAATGTAGAATTGAGAAGTTTGAAACAAATAAAATTAAGAAAATAGATATTTAATTACACTTTTAATAAATTTAAGATAATACTAGTTTTGATTTTTATTTTTAAATATTTATTTTAATTATTTAAAACAGAGAAACTATAATTTTAGTTTCTAGCTACTGAATTTAAAGAATTAAATTTATTATTATTTAAAAATTAGAATACAAATATATTATACCAATATACCATTATATTATTTTCATTGTATATAAATTACAAAATTAATAATTTGTATACTATACTATACTAACATATTATTTGTATACTATACTAATAGTATAATATACTATATTATAATATTATTTGTATACAAAACTAATATCTTTATATATAAATATATAAATATGGAAAGATATAAATATATGTAAAAATATAAACATATAAATATATATAAATATGTAAAGATATAAACATATATCTTTAATATTTTGTAAATGTAAATATAATTTATATATATTTTTAAATCTTTTTCTAATATTTATTTTTAAAAATATAATATTATTTTTAAAATTTAATATTTTTTTCAAATATATAAATATATAAAGATATAAATGTATAAGGATATAAATAAATATATAAATATATAAATATATAAATATATCAAAATATAAATATATAAAAATATAAAAATATAAAAATATAAAAATATAAATATATAAATATATAAATATATAAATATATAAATATATATAAATATATATATATATATATATATATATATATACAAATATATCAATATATCAATATTATCCCCTCATATATTAATATACATTATTAGCATAATTTTAATTTAATTAAAAATTAGAATACAAATATACTATACTATACTAATATACCATTATATTATTTTCATTGTATATAAATTACAAAATTAATAATTTGTATACTATACTATACTAATATATTATTTGTATACTATACTAATAGTATAATATACTATATTATAATATTATTTGTATAGAAAACTAATATCTTTATATATAAATATGAAAAGATATAAATATATGTAAAAATATGAAGATATAAATATATACAAATATAAATATATGTAAAAATATAAAGATATAAATATATCAATATATCAATATATCAATATTTAAATATATCAATATTTAAATATATATTAAAATATATAAATATATTTTTATTTATAGATTTTATATTTATATATTTATACGGATATACATTTATTTGTATATAAATATAATTTATTTGTAAGTTATTATTAAAAGATCCTAGTAGCTCGATGGTTGGAGTTTCAACCTCCAACTCTAAGGTACCGGGTTTGAATCCTGATAATGACAATAAACCACCTAATAATAAGTTAAACTTCTAAAAAATATAATATAATTAAGAGATAGGGAAAATAAATAATAGATATAATAAAAATGTAAATAAATAAAAATAATTAAATTTTTCATTGATTTAGTGACAGATTCGTGATCGAATTTGGTTATATATAATCGGTTTGATTCGGTCACCTGAATCGGTCACTAAAATCGAGTGACCAAGGAAATAGTAATCGATTCCAGTTGGTCACTATTTTAATTAGTAACCGATTTTGCACATTTAGTGACCGAATTTTCAGTCACTATTTGGTGTTTTTCTTGTAGTGATTGGGCGTCTCCTTCTAGCTGGACCTTTGAAGAAGGAGGAACGCATGATTTTGCATTTACTTGTCTGGATCCTATGTCCTCGGGCTACGAATCATGCTCAATGTTCTTCAATTGATCTTCATATTATTCATGCCATAATGAATAATGAGCCTTTAGATTGGGGCATTCTTGTCACCATGACTATGTTAAAAGCCAAACGCCATCCCACCTTCAAAATTCCATATGCCCTCCTCGTCTCTCGCATTCTTGAATACAAAGGAGTAAATGTCGAAGGTGAACAAACAGTAAGAACGAATAACTTAAACCGCATGCTGGACAACACATTGACCAACTCCAAATGGTGCGTGTCAACAATATTTATGTTCACAAGGATGACGTTCCAAACGAAGGTGATGATAATGAAGATTCTGATGAAGATATGCCTCCTGCTGCTGATTTTCCTTTTGATCAAATCCAAAGTGTTGGAACTTCCTCTGCTCATCATAAAACCTGTCAATCTATGGAAGATATGTTATCTGATATGAATCAGAGGATGCAGACATTCTTCACTCTTTCTGGAGTACGGCATGAGGAAATAATTCGTCGTATATCTGATGTAGATGATAAAGTGTGCCATTTAGAAAATAGATTTGATGCACACTTTCATAGTGATGATAGTGAAGAATTTTAAATTTGTTTTTATTTTCTTTTGTGTTGTAATGTAATTTCATTTCTGAAATAAAACTGTGTGGTGTTCTTTGAATGCTTTGATTGAGGGGGAGTTATCTCCAAGTTATGCATATTTTGAGGGGGAGCTCTTATGATTGTTATAGAAGGAGCTTTCATTTTTTGATTATAATCAAAATAGGGGGAGAAATATTTATAGCCTATCATGATTGAATTTAAATATTATCTGGTATGTTTAATGTGTTTGTTAGTGTGACAGATAAAACAGGTTAAAAGAAAATTTTGATCATCATAAAAAAGGGGGAGATTGTTGAACATTCAAGGACTTGATGTTGAACTTACATGGACATGAAGCTTGTTGATTTTGATGATGATTCAAGAACACAAGACTTAGAGAGTTGAAGACTTGTTTTATAGTGTAATAACTCTGTTTTGATTAGTTTGAGTCTGTAATATTAGAGTTTAAGATAGCCGGCACATAGTCTGCACTTTAGAAGCTTCAAAAACTCACATTTATCAGTTTACCTCGGCTTTAATCGATTAAATGGTCAGATAATCGATTATTACAGTGAGAAAAACCATTTTCTATATCTGTTCATTGTAATAATCGATTAACACACTTGTTAATCGATTAACAGGCCTGTTAATCGATTAACAGGACTTTTAATCGATTAAAACAGAAAGTTTTGGGGTTCTGTTGATTTTGGATATGTAATAATCGATTAACACTTCATTTAATCGATTATTTCAGTCAGATTTTGATTTTCAACTTCAAATTAAACCTATTTTCGAAAACTTTAATCCCAAGACTCCTAGTTCCGAAAATCCCAATTCCCAAACCCTAATTTCTCTACTTAAGCTTCTCTATGACACTCAGAAAAATTGAACAACCTTTTTCAAACAAAAGTGCTGTGAGTGCCAGAGAACTGTTAGGAAAAATGGGCTTTAGAAACCTGGTGTGGGCTAGAAGCGATAAGAATCACTAAGTGGAGTTCTTAGTAGATTGTATGTTGTGCCGTCTCTGGGAAAAACTGTTCTTCATCTCTTGTGGGTTTCAAGAGGTGTTTTCTTTACTTTGTATTTTCAATTGTTATCTGTTTGTAACAACTTTGATTATAGTGACAATGTTAATCCTTTGTTTGAGTGATTAACAACTGGACGTAGGGTCTTTTGATCCTAACCAGTATAAATCTCCTGTGTAAGATTCTATCTCTATCTTATTTACGTTTACACAGTTTTTTAATCGGTAAAATCTGGAAAAAATTTTGAAAATCTAATTTTTGTTAAGAAACCAATTCACCCTCTCTTAGTTTTTGTCTGTTCACGCGAACATTCCGCTGCGCGATTTTATCAGCGTTGGTGTAGACAATGTTTCCTTCTTATTATTTTTTTTTTCACACCATTTTTTTTAACTCTTTTTTTTTTCTCTCAAACATGTTAACGGTTTCGTTAAATTTAAACAAGGGTTAAAAAATGTATTTTAAAAAAATTGGGTAAAAGTATTAAATCAACTTTGTTATGTGTAAATTAAAATTGTCAGTCTTTAACGATTTTAAAAATTTAGATACTTGATTGAAACTTGTATTAATAGTGTAACCAAATTAAATAAAATAAATACATGATGACACTAGAAAGTAATTAGTCTTCTTTGTAGTGTTTTATTGATTGCAAATAATAAGAAATTGTGTATCAAATATGCATTTTTATTTTTCAAATTTTATAATAAGATATTTATGTAGAAGTAAATGAGAGGAAGAATAGTAAATGGAGGAAAGACTCATGGATTTTCATTTTTTTTAAATAGATGGAGGAAAATATCGTTGATTTTTTTTTTTTAAATGTTAGATTCATTTCATTTTAACTTTATTTCATGTAGTTTAGTTGTAAATTTTATGTATCTAGTATCTAAAGATGAGGTGCTGGGTTTGTACTCATGCAAGAATTTCTCTTTATTTGATTTATTGATTTTTTTTAATATTACAAAAAATTATAATTTTCATTGTAATTATAGGTTTACTTTCAACTGAAACCGATACTTGAAATATCGTTTAAAAAGATGAATTATGATATACTTTATTTTTCAAAACATAAATTATTATTTTAAATAATCAGTACCATTAAATCAAACCATACACCTGTATTTTCGCTTTGTTATTTTTTCTTACGTACGAAGAAACATGCATACAACACAAAATGTGAATCAATTAACTTGGGTTGTAACAACTTTCCGCGATTTGAATTCGTGTCTTGGCATGTGATATTTTAAATATTCCGAAGCACAGATTGTGTTATTGTTTTTTAAATAACACCCTATAATTTGAATATTTTAAGAATACTTAACGCAAATTTTTTAGTTATATTAATTTGATTGATTGTATTGGTAAATACTCGTACTCGCGAACACCCTTAGTTAATTATTATCTACCAAGAATGTCAAATGAAAATACTAATCAAAAACATTAAATACTCGTAATATTAAGAACTTCATTAAGGATAAACACTAATTACATATATTCCAATGCATACGCAAGAGGGGCACGAAAGGATTATGCAATCATTATTGAGGCTGAAATGTGGTGTATCTCTCGACATATAAAGGTAGTAGAATATGAAGTTAAGGGTTAACTTCAAATTTGAGAAGGTAGTTATCATTTTATGGAGTAGGAATTGGCTTGTGAACTGGCAATGGTGGTAGAAGTGGCTTCTTTAATTTGGGATCAAGAGGTAGTTTAGGAATAGACTTTTTGAAGAAAGGTTTTGGTTTTAAAAATTCCTCTGACTCAACAGTAGGGATGGGCTTTTTCACAATAAATGGTTTTGGTATTGGCTTAACAATGGGAAATGGCTTTGGAATAGGTTTAAGAATAGGAATTGGTTTAACAATTGGAACAGGTTTAAGAATAGGAATTGGCTTAACAATTGGAACAGGTTTAAGAATAGGAATTGGCTTAACAATGGGAACTAGCTTTGGTACAGGCTTAACAACAGGAATTGGCTTCACAATGGGGACTAGTTTTGGTATAGGCTTATATACTGGAACAGAAATAGGCTTAACAACAGGAATAGGTTTCGGGAAGACACCTTTGAATTTTGCTTCTTCGTTTGGAATTGGCTTAACATCTGGAATTGGCTTTGGTGTAGGCTTATAAAATGGAATAGGAATAGGTTTAAGGACAGGAACTGGCTTTGGAATAGGTTTAGCAAATGGAATTGGTTTAGGAATAGGTTTAAGACCGTGGATTGGTTTTGGAAGCAATCCTTTGAACTTTGCTTCTTCATCATGTCCTTGAAGACTTGGTTTTGCAAACTCTTCATTTAAAACCTCCCCATCTGTGTTTACTTCATTCCCTACATAACAAATAAGAAATGCAGAAATATATGTAAGTCGAAGATTGATCATTTTTTTCTGTTAGCTTCGAACAGTTCGCCAACAAATCTCTCAGAAAACTACATATACTCTTTAGTTGGAGATATTACTGGATTGGTCAAAATCACAAACTGTGTGATGTTAAATGTTGAATAAATTGAAAAATATAATTACATTTCGCATGAAAAATATAAATGATTGAATTGAATTCTGAAGACAATTATATCAGTCACTAGTAACTTTCATCACTGAAATCATTGGTTAGGGTTGATCCTAATTATATGCATGTCAAATTGTGGATCCAATCATCCTAACTCGTCTATGCATAGGTCTTACTGCACATATTGAATATCAAATGCATACTTTTAGTCTCTTGTAAAAGCTATGCTGTTTCTATCAATGTCATTGTTAAAATGGATAAATATTTTATAAGAACGAACACAGAAACATATGATAATAATTCCTAAACTAAGGGCCAAACAAAATTACTATAATATGTGTGATTAATGACACGAGCCACACAGACCTGAAATTTCTGATGTGGCCGAAACAGAAGGACCATAAGTGAAGGTGGCAAGGAGGAAGAAGGCAACAGAGAAGCGCAAAAGAGTGGAAGGGTTTCCCATTCAGAAAACAAGTAATGAAAACTGAGAAGGGAATATCTGAAGGATTGAGTAAATTCTTTCCATATTCTCATTATTTATAGTTCCAAACTTTGGTTGGGACTAGTCTTGCTCATTACTCATTACTAGTTTTCAAATATACTCCGAAATTTTAGATTTGGTTCAGGGGTTATTATGTGGGTGGTTCCAACTTTGACACATTTTTAGAAAGGTCAAATAGCGTTTAACACCGTTGTTGTTGTTGTTGCTGTGATAATACGTATTCATGGATGCTCCCTCCATTAAATGAGCCTCCCAAAGTAGGTCTTTCTTTTCATTTTAAGTGCTAGAAGAAGAGAAGTGATGACTGGCAAAAAAAGTTTATAGCAGCAAAATACCAACTTAAGAATATGTGTTTGTGCAATGGCAACAATGAAAGTATAGAACATGTCATTTGTATGCAATTTTCCCCCTTCATATATGTACTTGATGTTTTCCCCTTAATGAAGTTTTTATTGAATATTTTGATACCCACGAGAAATAAAAAATACAAGAGTCCCGATATTTTGACACCCATTTTAAACATCCGTTCGACAACCGATTAAAAAAATATTAAACTTTAGATAGCGGTTCAGAAATAACCGCTATCTAAAGTATGTTTTATTAGCGGTTCAGAAATAACCGCTATCTAAAGTATGTTTTATTAGCGGTTCAGAAATAACCGCTATCTAATTTCATACTTTTAAAGAGCGGTTAGGAGTGAACCGCTATCTAAAGTCATATTTTTTGTAAACCCTACCTCTAACTTTCTTCAACTTCGCACTCTTTCTGTCTACGTTTTTTGGCCGCTCTCATTCTCGCTCTCTGCGCTTTCATTCTCGCTCTCTGTGTCTTCTATTAAGCTAAAGGTACGTTCTTTGTATTTTCAATCTTTCTGATTCTCTTGCTCACATTGAAGCATATTACATTGTAATATATTTGTGTGTCGCCAAGTTCGCGTTCCAGTCTCCATTCGCCATTGCTGTTGTAGGACGCGCTTATTGGGAGTTAGTGCATTATATATTTTTAGGGTTTAGGGTTTAGAGTTTGTCTACATTGAGATCTGAAATTGTGTTTTCTTACTGCATGTTATTGACCCTTAGTAATGAAAATGAGTATATGCTTTGAGATAACTTTTATGATATTCATTGTTAGATGATACTCAGATTGTTGTCATGAAATACTTGTATGAATGTGCTCGACCTGTAGTAAACGTCATGACGAGTAAATAAATTTTATACTATGAACTCAAATTAAATAGGGTTACATGTATTTGCAGTTTGAAATGGAAAGCATAGACGATGGATCTTCAAATGTTAAGAAGGTGAATGTTGTATCCATTTATATAATATAGGATATTGTTGATGATAATTATAATTATTTAATGTGATTTTCGGGTATATTTGCGACATGTTTGCGGGACTAATTATTTGGGTGAAGTGAATAACATTCTTACTACGAGCAAAGAAGTCGTATTGAGGCAACACCATTTAAATGGTTGATGTCATTGGGTAGAAAGGTCAAAATTAGTAGAACATTGCTTAGTGAATTAATAAGTAGATGGGTTGAAAAGAGAGGAGGATTTAATATAAGGTCTGAGATAGTATGCTTAACACTATTAGATGTGTGTTTAGGTTTAGGACTTCGTGTAGTAGGCGAAAATGTCAGCATTGTAGAAGGAAACATTGATTGTCATACTAGGAGACTATTTAATGGGAAACATGTTACTTTGGAAATGATTTTTAATGAACTTGTTAAACGTCAAAATGATAAGGATGTCGATGACTTTTGTAGGTTGTACATACTCTTAGGTTTGTCAGAATTTTTATTCCCTAATGAAGTTGGTATCGCACATTGTGGATTTTTTAAGTTAATAGATAATATATCTTGTCTTGGAAAGTATAATTGGGGAAAAACAGTGTATGAATATTTGGTTGGAAGTTTATGTGAAGCATCGATTTATTTGAAGAAACGAAGAAATTGTTCACACTTCCATGTTCTAGGATGTGTGTTTTTGTTACAGGTAAATCTTAAATTACGATATATGTTTTGTTAGAATACTTTCAATATAGTCAGCTGATTTGATATTGTGCATTTTGTTTATATGAATTCAGGTATGGGTCATGGAGCATGTACTTTATAATACCAAATCATGTAATGAGATAAGTCGATTTCTGAGATTTTTACAATGGACCTCTGTTGTAATTGGGGAAAGCAAGATTGTAGTTGCGTTTAATCATAATAGAGTTAGTTCATGAAAAATTTAGTAGAACTTGTTTGCAATATTACTTTACCATATGTCAAAATGTGATTTCAATTTGACATTGTTTGTTACTCATAGGTTATTCATGACTTGTGCGTCATAAATAAAGAGCTTGCTCATGATATAGTGAAAGAAGCATTAGGACATACCACTTATGCATCTGAAGAAGTTAAAAATTTTACTAATATGTTGTGTGGAATTAGTGCTGAGAATCAAATGTTGATTGCCGTAACCAAACAACAGGAATCAACAATTGAAAAACTAGAGGAAGATGTAACACAATTACACGAATTGTTAGATGAAGCAAAACTATCAACGGAAGAAGTAAATCCTCCATCATGTGGGATGTACTTTTCTCCGAGTATTTGAAGGTAGTAGTATTAAAGAGATGAAGCATCATGTTGAAGCAACGGAAGAATCAAAGTTGCATTTTGAAGGGTCAAATATGTATACGCGACTTAAAGGTCATCCAAGAATAAGGTATAAAAGTTTTACGGTCAAAACACCAGTGGACGACTAATTCAAGGAAAAGAAAAAAGGCGACATAAGTGTTGTGTAGATGAATTATTTTGTTAGGTTTTGTTGTAATTGTAATTTATATTTGATGCGAGACCTTTATGATGTAATTTTTGTGGCCTGTGATAATGTTATATTGTACATTACTTTTTATCTCATAGTGATAGCATTGTATCTTCCTCCGATGTGTTGTTCGACTGATCATGTATGTTTATGTGCATTTAATGATATATAGTCAAGTGGTTAAGCATATGATGTGGGCTATACAAATTTAGCACATAATTAACACAAAAATGTCATGTTCAGTTAAGCACATAAAGTTGAGGTGGTCAGCAGATATATGGTTAAGCCAATAGTAAAACATGACTAAATGTCTATCATAATTAACCACATAATGTTTATATGTCTACAACTCTTAAAAGTGACAAATATCACGGTTGAACCAGATATCGCTCGAGCAAGATTAATGTCGCTCAAGCGAAATACAACCCAAGAATCCCAATTTCTTGCAGGTAGTGTCGCTCGAGCGATGTAAATTTCGCTTGAGCTAATGTTGACCTTGGGCTAAACGTCGATCAAAGTTAGCCGCATAATGTAACATGGGTGACCCCATTCTTAGGAGGTGGCCTCGCTCGAGCGAGATTCTTTTCGCTCAAGCGAAATACAATCCGAGAATCCTCATTCTTAGCAGCTGGTGTCGCTCGAGCGATGTTAATTTCGCTTGAGCGATATTAGAAAAAAAGATAATATGTCCGATTATTTTAGGTTATAATCGATCATTAACATACGTTAGACAGCGGTTTACCCTTAACCGCTATCTAATATATATTTTTAAAAGCGGGTCTTATCAACCGCTATCTAAGGTCGCTTCGTGCCTCTCGCGTTCAGAGGCTCTCAAGCGACTAGGTAATCGCTTGAGCGACAGCTGAATCTTATATGTGGTGAACAAAGATTTAGTACATGGCTAACTGCGTAGGACGTTTCGTCTGTGGTTCACCAGTCGCTCAAGCGAGGATGACATCCCTTGAGCGATGGAACCTTAACCAATAGGGACCATCGGGTTCTATCTCGCTCAAGCGATGTTTTTGCCGCTTGAGCGACAAGTGATTCCAATATGTGGTGAACCAACTTAAATTATTTGGCTAACTGCGTGTGACGTTTCGTCATTGGGTATAAATAACCTCGCTCAAGCGACAAAGTTATGGCTTGAGCGACGCATCCTTCAAACAAGGGAGACTCTCGGGTTCTATCTCGCGCAAGCGATGTTTTTCACGCTTGAGCGAAAATTGATTCTATTATGTGGTGAACCAACTTAAATTATTTGGCTAACTGCGTGTGACGTTTCGTCTTTGGGTATAACCTCGCTCAAGCGATAAAATTATCGCTCGAGCGACGCAGCCTTCAAACAAGGCAGACTCTCGGGTTCTATCTCGCTCAAGCGAAATTTTGAAAGCTTGAGCGGAAAATTGATTCTAATATGTGGTGAACCAACTTAAATTATTTGGCTAACTGCGTGTGACGTTTCGTCATTGGGTTTATCCTCGCTCAAGCGATAAAGCTGTCGCTCGAGCGAAGGAGCCTTCAAACAAGGGAGACTCTCGGGTTCTATCTCGCTCAAGCGACTTTTTGAACGCTTGAGCGAAAATTGATTCTAATATGTGGTGAACCAACTTAAATTATTTGGGTAAGCTGCGTTTGACGTTTATCGGCGAGTTGATGGTCCATACATTTACGTAACAATCATCGGTTGTAGACATTTATCGGACATGTGATAAAAAACAAGTTGAGTTTTTCAACAAGTTTATCCAGACATTTATCAGCTTTCTTAAACAAGTTTTTAACTGATACAGCTTTGATAGAACCGATTAAAATTACTTACAATATTCAGAGAAGTGTTTTTACAGTATTTTGATCGATACAACTTGAGTTTAATGGGTTAAAACCACTTGGAGTTCAGGATGATCGATCAGAATACAATTATGACCGGTTAGAATCAGATATGATCGATCAGAACTGAATTATGACCGATCAAAATAAGTTATGCTCGATCAAAATTTAGTTATGACCGATCATAACTATTTTAATCGATTAAATCTCGTTTCAATCGATTAAAACAACTTAGAAAATTTCTACACAGCGTTTTAATCGATTAAAACTTATTTTTATCAGTTAAAATAACTTGAAAAGTGTTACAAGAAAGTTGTGC